TTAGAGAAACAAAGTTGCTACTTATCTCTCCAAAAATATGTTGTACTTTGTACAAACCTCACCATGGAACAAATCAAGTGTGTGAAAGCCTGCAGTGCCAGCACATCTGAGAAAGGAGGGCCCAGAGGCCCAGACATGTCTCAGCTCAAATTTTTAAAGAAAACACTTAGGTTTGGTAGGGCACGGTGGCTCACGCCTGTAATCCCAGTACTTTGGGAGGCTGAGGCAGGCGGATCATGAGGTCAGGAGTTTGAGACCAGCCTGGCCAATATAGTGAAACCTTGTCTCTACTAAAAATACAAAAACTTGCTGGGCATGGTGGCACATGCCTGTAGTCCCAGCTACTTGGGAGGCTTAGGCAGAAGAATTGCTTGAACCCAGGAGGCGGAGGTTGCAGTGAGCTAAGATCACGCCATTGCACTCCAGCCTGGCAACAGAGTGAGACTTTGTCTAAAAAATAAAAAAAATAATTAAAAAACAGGAAAACAGACCTTTTTCTGATCAATAAGCTCTGAAAGTTTTTTTCTGATATAACTTTTTCCCCTTTAACAGTTTTTTGATGTATAATTCACATACCATACACTTTAAAGTACCCAACTCAGTGGGTTTTCGCATCCATCACAAAATGAACTTTCGAACATTTTCACCCCCACCCTCTTCCAATTCCTGTTTCCTTTACCACACACATCACTCCCAGGCCTAGGTAACCAGCAGTCTCCTTGCTGCCTTGATAGCTTTGCCTATTCTGGACATCCCACATAAAGGGAATTACACAACATGTGGCCTTTCATGTCTGCTTTTTTCACTTATCATAATATCTCCAGGGTTTAGCCATGTTGTAGCGTACTTCATTCCTTTTTATGGCTGAATAATATTCCACTGTACAGTGTTACGGGTTGAATTGTGTCCTCCAGAAATTCATATGTTGATGTTCTAACCTCCATCACCTCAAAATGTGGTCTTATTTGATAATGGGATCTTCCAAGATAATCAAGCTAAAATGAGTTAAGTAGGTCCTAATCTGGTGACTGCTGTCCTTATAGAGAGAGAATTTCAATGCAGTGATGCATATAGGGAGAACGCCATTCAAACAAAACGACAGGGATTTGCAAGCCACGGAAAGAGGCCTGGAATAGCTCCTTTCTTTGTAGCCCTCAGAAGGAATCACCCACCCCAATGCCTTGACCTCAGACTTCTGGCCTTCAGAGCAGTGAGACCACACGTTTCTGTTGTGTAGGTTGTGGTTCACTTTGCTGCAGCAGCCCTAGAAACTCGTACGTATGTGTATACCACATTTTGTTTCTCTCTCACTTGGCCTTTTGGGTCATTTCCACTTTTGGGCTTTTATGAGCAATGCTGCTCTGAGCATCCGTGCACATCTGGATATCCCAGATAAGCTTTTTTAAATTGTGTTTTTATTTATCTTGGATATGTACGTAGGAGTGGAACGCCGGGTCAAATGGTGACTCTGTTGAACTGTTTGCCACCTCTTCCAGTGTGGCAGTGCCCCTTCACATTCCCTGCAAGAACATATGAGGGCTCTCATTTCTCCACATTCTGTTGACACTTGTTATGATCTTTCTTTTTCACTGTAGTCATCTCAGTGGGTGACAGCGGCATCTCACTGTGGTTTTGATTTGCATTTCCGGGAAATGATATTGAGCATATTTTCATATGCTTATTGGCTGTCTGTACCTTCTTTGGAGGTTAAATATTTTGATCCAAATGTTCCAGGTGGTCCAGGCCCGTGCACCTCTGCAGACACATGCTGGCTGCACCACCCCTCCCCTCACTCTGATTCCAGTTATCTGACTTTCGTCAGTCTTTGGAGGCAAATTCTACACATTTTCCTACATCAGGGCCCTCATACTCTCAAGTCTATTGAACAAAGACAATTCTTTTCCCACCTTTGCCCTGTTAACCTCAACTCATTTTTCAGAGTTCAGTTCAACCATCACTGCCTCAGGTAAGCCTCCCTTGACTACCCCAGCTGAGGGTCCATCAGCTGGCTAAGCTTACAGAGAGGCCTGTATCAGGTAAGTGTAGTCAGTCTCAGATACAGCCTCAGTTCTACTAGGTACAGCTGTATCACCAAACTTTAATCTTTTCACTAGGCTAGGTAATCATACAACTTTAGAATTGAGTTTACTCTTTCAATTAGGAAGATGAATATCCCTACCTTTCAGTTAGATTTTATGAACTAAAAAATTATACTTTATCTTGCTATGAATTGGTTATTTTCTAAAATTTCATTTGGGCATTTAACAATCCAACCCATACCTGAGCTAGAATCCTTTGAAGTATCCAGATTAGGGTTGGGGCACTTTAAAGTTTGAGAGAAATAAAGTTGAAGAGTATCAAGAGGCTGAGCGTGGTGGCTCATGCCTGTAATCCCAGCACTTTGGGAGGCAGAAGTAGGCAGATCATGAGGTCAGTAGTTCAAGACCACCCTGGCCAACATGGTTAAACCCTGTCTCTACTAAAAATACAAAAAAAAAAAAAATATTAGCCAGGTGTGGTGGCAGGTGCCTGTAATCCCAGTTACTTGGGAGGCTGAGGCAGGAGAATTGCTTGAACCTGGGAGGTGGATGTTGCAATGAGCTGAGATTGCACCACTGCACTCCAGCCTGGGTGACAGATCAAGATTCTGTCTTGGGAAAAAAAAGAGTATCAAGAATAAAGTAAGGCATTATGTTCATTTTCTTAGAAAGCTACTAAGCCAATATAAGAGAAGCAGCATCTGCTGTAGACTGAATCACTTCTCCAGACCCAAGGCAGCCTTGCATGTCAAACACATGCCCAGCTACAAATGGCAAAGAGTGCCGTATCTTCAGGGGAAAAAAGATTTAGACCAAGAAACCTTAAGCATTTCCCACTAAAGGGAGAGCAGAAGGCCAACCCACTTTATGATTATATTTGGTCTGCTTTCCTTGTCCTCCCTCCATTCTGTGCCAAGGGAGCCGTGTGGTTTCTTTGCTTCATCAGCTTCACAGCACCCTAAAAACTTCTGCGGCAAATAAGTCATTTGACACTGGAAAGGAAAAGGGCATGGGGTTTTAGATTCATTTTGTCTTGAAAAAGCAGACAATGGTGCTATTATACCAAGGAATGACTGTCCTTCCCCAGTTGATAATCATGAAGACCAATAAATGTCAGCTGATTTATTTAATGAACTGATACAAATGATTTGAACATAGGGAGCTGAAGATGGCCAGAAAATGTGGAATCAGAGCAGAGAAGGCCTTGAATGCAACCAGGAAGAGCTGGCATCAGGCAATGATTCTCTCCCACGAAGGATGAGGGAGAGTCAGTTACCTGAGAGCTTCAAACTGGAATGGGCCTTGCTGTTTCCAGTGGATATTGGAGAATGTCAATGTTCAGAATAGAAAAGACTGATACGGATGCTACTGCAGGGATTCGGATATGAAGCGATGACAAGGTAGGCCAGTGCAGTGGCCATGGGAATGACGAGGAGAGGGCAGATTTGAAAAGCAGGAGGTAGGCTTGGAAAAAAAGATAAATAAAGGAGATGAAGGGACTTGCAGAATTTAATGACAATGTTAAATCAAGCAAAAGCATTTTTGCTTTTGCAAAATCTTTCTACACTGAAGGATTGCCTCTCAGTGTAGCATGTGTCTTGTCTATGTTTACACCACCCCAATTAGATTGCACCAGAGAACAGAGACTAGCACTCTTCCATTTGCTTTATACTTGGAACATCTATACGAGTACAGTGGGCTGGTGAACAACAGGGGCTCGATTACTGGTTGATTAATTCCCCCGGGCTTGGGCAGAGACTACTGTCTCTTCAATTTAATGAACATTGACTTTGTGTCCACTGAGTGATGGGTGCTCTGCAGAAATTGGTGAAAAGCCATGCCATGGGAAACAGCTTATGGGTTAATGCAATTGTGAGGACAGGGAGTTGCTGTGCATTAGACAAAGAAGTCACTGCAATGTAAGACAAAATAAGACCAGTGCTTTGCTGGCCCAAGAGAGAAACTTAGACGTCTGAAGATGAGGGATTCAGCGTGAGTTTGTGAATTTGGATGAGCTGAAACAAGTCATTGGTTAATGTGGGAGCAGGGAGAGGTATCTCAGGAAGACAGAAACAGAAGCAAGAGCAACAAAAGGGCTGTGTTTACTGCAGCTGAGGGGTTCATATTAGCACTGAGAAGCAGAGAAGACTACTTGACGCAGCCACGCTTTTAACAGGTATGTTACAGCCAAGCGTTTAGAATCTTCATCAGATTTTACTCATGATGGTTTTATTGGGCATGCTACCACCATGAAAATTACTTTGTGTTGGAAAAATGAACTTCAAATGGGATAAGAGACTTGCAAAAGAAAGACAGTGACCCAACCATGAGCTCAGTCTGCAGTCAAGTGACAGGTTAATGCCTCATGGGGCCTTGGAACCATCCTCCAGGACTCTCAGCCGAGTGGGATAAAGAGCAGTGGGCCAAAACAAATGCATGCAGGCACTTGGTTGCTTTCTTTCTGTAAAAATTAAAAAAAAAAAAACGCAGTCTCACTCTGCTGCCCAGGCTGGAGTGCAATGGTGCTGTCTCGGCTCACCGCAACCTCCGCCTCCTGGGTTCAGGTGATTCTCCTACCTTAGGCAACTGCCGCCTGGGTAATTTTTGTATTTTTTGTAGAGATGATGTTTCACAATATTGGCCAGGCTGGTCTCAAACTACTGACCTCATGATCTGCCCGCCTCAGCCTCTCAAGGTGCTGGGATTACAGGCCTGAGCCACCGCACCCGGCCGGACACATGCTTTCTATACTTGCATAAGAAGCCACACAGGCCAAAAGAGGACCCAACCCTCAGCAATCACCACACCAGATCCACACCTAGTTTGTGCCTGTAAAAAAAGAAAGGGTTTTTATTTGGCCCAGCTCAGGGATAGAAGGATGTCTTGCTATTTTCATTAGATACATAAAATTGACAGTAACACTCCAGTGTTAAAGAAAACAACTAGTTACAAGTCAGTTGATGCTTCTCTAGTCTTACTTTATTGCGTTTAAAGTAATGCTGAGAGAACATTAGTCCTAGAGTCGAATTAGATATAAGAACATGTATCGTCTATTCTCAAGGTTTAAAAAGTTACAAAGGCTTAGATTCTTCACGTTTCACATTTATAGATATTCGTTGAGAATAATCTTACAGAAAATTCTGAAAAATGTCATTATCCCATCATTCTAACCTAATGATTATTTCAATACATTGTTATAAGTCTGTGAATGCATGACTGTGACAATCAATTCTAGCCCTTAAGATAAATAAATAATTTTCTAAAAATGCAAATATTTTATACAGTATAAATTCTGATAATGCAGCTTTACTTAGAGTACCGCACCTTTTTATTCTAAGAGGCATCATGTGACCATCAGTAGAACAGGGACAGAAAAACAGGATTATAAATTGATACTAATTTTATACAAAAGGATTATGAAAATCTTCAAAAAGATCATTCTATCATGATAATTTCCCCAAATGCTACAGATTTGAGAGCTTTCTCTCTCCTCGATAGTAGAGAGAAATAGGAGGTAGGCTCTGCCCCCCATCATGTCCTGACTCCAAACTGCACAGACAAATGGGGTTATTGAGGGTGAACCTGAGCTCCTCTAACACACCCCTGACATGCCCCTGGACCCCTCATAGGCTCACAGCACTGTCTTCTCCCTGCCCAGCCAGCCAGCCTCCCACTGCCAGGTCCCCCATGTACACAGTCCTAATGCCCTTTTTGTTTTGTTCCCCATGCCCCCCCATCTCTCTTGAAGTGTGATTGACAAATAAAAATTCTACATAGTTAAGGTGTACAAGGTGATGATTTGGTACACTACAATCATGGTAATTAACACACCCATCTCCTCACATACTCACCCTTTGTGTGTGTGTGTGTGAGGACATTTAAGATCTCTTTTCCCAAATTTTAAGTATACGATTCAGTATGATTAACAATGGTTACCGTGCTGTACATTAGACCCCAGCACATATTTATCTAGTAACTGAAAGTTTGTACCCTCTGACCAGCATCTTTGACTTCCCCTGCATCTCCCAATCCCTGATAACTACTATTCTATTCTGTTTCGGTGAGGTCTACATTTTTAGATGCCACAGATAAATGAGATCCTGTAGATTTTTCTTTATTTGTCTGGCTTATTTTACTAAGCATAATATCCCCCAGGTTCATCCATGTTGTCACAAATGACAGGATTCCTTCTTTTTTTTTTTGAGACTGAGTCTCAGGCTGGAGTGCAGGGGCTCCATCTCGGCTTACTGCAAACTCCATCTCCCAGATTCAAGTGATTCTCCTGCCTTAGCTAAGATTACAGGTATGTGCCACCACACCTGGCTAATTTTTGTATTTTTAGTGGAGATAGGGTTTCACTATGTTGGCCAGGCTGGTCTCGAACTCCTGACTAGTGGGCCTGCTTAGATTTTGGAGTCAACATATTTCTCATTCGAGTGTGTTACTCAGGCTCATCTACCAAGTGACTAAAAAAGCTGCTAGTTGGCTGGGCGCGGTGGCTCAGGCCTGTAATCCCAGTACTTTGGGAGGCCGAGGCGGATGGATCACGAGGTCAAGATATCGAGACCATCCTGGTCAACATGGTGAAACCCCGTCTCTACTAAATATACAAAAAAAATTAGCTGGGCGCAGTGGTGCGTGCCTATAATCCTAGCTACTCAGGAGGCTGAGGCAGGAGAACTGCCTGAACCCAGGAGGCGGAGGTTGCGGTGAGCCGAGATCACGCCATTGCACTCCAGCCTGGGTAACAAGAGCGACACTCCGTCTCAAAAAAAAAAAAAAAGCTGCTGGTTTTGAGTAGAACCCAGAACAGCAGAAGGCTCTGCAACAGGTCCAGGCTGCTGTGCAAGCTGCTGTGCCACGTGGGCCATACAATCCAGCAGATCTGATGGTGCTTGAGGGGTCAGTGGCAGACAGGGAGGGTATAGGAGAATCACAGCAGAGGCCCTAAGATTCTGGAGCAAGGCCCTGCCATTATCTGCAGATAAGTACTCTCCTTTTGACAGATAGTTCTTGGCCTTAGTAGAAACTAAATGCTAGACCGTGGGCCACCAAGTTACCACACAACCTGATCTGGCTCTCATGAACCGGGTGTTATCTGACCTACCAAGCCATAAAGTCGGTGTGCACAGCAGTGTTCCATCATTAAATGGAAGTAGTATACATGATCAGGCTCAAGCAGGCCCTGCAGACACAAGTAAGTTACATGAAGTGGCCCAAATGCCCATAGTTTCTACTCTTGCTACCCTGTCTTCTCCCCACCTGCATCTATTGCCTCATGGGAAGTACCCTATGATCAGCTGAAGAGGAAGAGAAGAAAAGGTCCTGGTTCACAGATGGTTCTGCACGAGATGCAGGCACCATCTGAAAGTGGACAGCTGCAGCACTACAGCCCTGAAGGACACTGGTGAAGGAAAATCTTCTCAGTGGGCAGAACTTCAGGCAGTACACCTGAGCATGCACTTTGCATAGAAGGGGAATGGCCAGATGTGCAATTATATGATGATCCATGAGCTGTAACCCTGGGCAACAAGGTGAAACCCTGTCTCTACCAAAAATGCAAAAAATTAGCCAGCCATGGTGGTGCTTGCCTATGGTCCCAGCTACTCGGGTGGCTGAGGAAGGTGGGAGGTGGAGGTTGCAATGAATGCAACCTCCAGCTCTCCAGCTTTCGAACTCTAGGACTTAGACTGATGTTCCTTCTGGGTTCTTGGACCTTCAGCCTTGGACTGAGAATTATACCATGGGCTTTCCTGCTTCTGAAGACTTCAGATTTGGACGGAGCCATGCTACTGGCATCCCAGCTTGCAGACAACCTGTTATGAGATTTCTCAGCCTCATATATATATTTATTATTTCTCATATATATTATTTCTTTTCATCTTGTAAACTTTAATCCATAATATAGTTTACCCAGAACCAGTAACTGTGATGCACACACGTATCTTATTGGTTCTATGTCTCTGGAGAACCCTGACAAATACAGTTGGGTTATGGTGATTTGGAGGCCATCAACTATGCCTGGCCCATAGCTGCACAGTTTCTAGTTCTTGGGTAAACTGTATTGTGAATTAAAGTTTACAAGGTGAAAAGAAATCATTTTCTCTTCTACTTACTTCAGAATTTTTTAAATGGTGATGATGTGTTTTATACATACATTTTTGGTTTTATTTATAGGACTTGAACCTCAAGTATGATTGGAATAAGGGCTGGGGGGGGAAAGGCAGGAATTTTAATTGGGAAGACAGAAAGATAGTTTTTTCTAAGGCTGACGTTCTCAGAAACACTGAGCAGTTGCAGAATGGCCTTGATGAAGCCAGGGGTGGCCGGGAGAGCCAGTGAACAGATGGACTGATCCAGCTCGGAGTTGTTTTGGAATCTCAAAGTCTGGATTCAAATCTCAGTTCTTTTAGTTTAAGCAAAGAACATAACCTCCCTGAAATTCAGTTTTCTCATTTGTAAAATAGGGACATGACAGGATTTTAGGAAGGGTATGAGATGGAGTAAAACCATACAGGCAGACAATTTCCATAGTGCCTGTGCCCTACTGTTAGGACTTGTTTCCCTCTAGACCCTGATAATCGAGCCCAGGTGCTATATGAGACAGGCAAACCTTCCCTGACTTCCCAGGTCTAGAAATCTGCTTTAAAACATGGATTTTTGTTGTTGTTGTTGTTGTCAAGGGCAGTGGCTCACATCTGAAATCCCAGCACTTTGGGAGGCCAAGGTGGGCAGATCACCTGAGCCCAGGAGTTTGCAGCCTGGGCAACATGGCAAAAACCTATCTCTGCAAAAAATACACAAGTTAGTTGGTTGTGGTGAGGTGCACCTGTAGTCCCAGCTACCTTGGGAGGCTGAGGTAGAAGAATCATCTGAGCCTGGGAAGTGGAGGTTTCAGTGAGCTCTGATCGTGCCACTGCACTCCAGCGTGGGTGAGAGGAGTAAAACTTCATCTCAAAAAATAAACAAAAAACTCCATGGATTTTTGATGCAGTTTTCATTTTGTTTTATTTCATTTCTATGGCTTCCTCTCTCTCCAAATCAAATGACTTATCTCTTCAGGACTGGTAGATGGAGTTTTCCTAGTAGGTACAATCTGACTCTCAGGCAAAGAATACACTTCATTTATAAAATAACAACAGCAACTCCTTAGTAGTCTAGCGGTTAGACAAAATAAGTAAACATATAAATAAAACAGCAATGACAATGCAACAGAAAACCTCGGTTATCCTGAGCAAAACTCTTCCAGACACTGGAAATGAACGGTTTTTTTAGTGATCAGTTTCATTTACTAAAGAAGCTTCACTCTTCCGGGAGACAGCAGGACTAAAAGGAGAAGCAATGTGAAAACACTTCAAAGCCACAAACTTACATAAATATAAATCTTACCATTAATAATGAGTACAGGATATTACATGTTTGATAAATGAGAGTGTAGCAAGTAGACAAACCTTCCTCTCCTGCCCTTCTCTGCTCTGGTAGATTCTGGGGCAGAGCTAAGCTCAACTCAGTTTCTGCTCATCCTTGCTGGTTTAATTCAATGAGTCGACCTGCAAACACGGCCAGGGTTCCAATGATGCAGATGAGCATGAAGACTCCGAGGAGAATGTGGTCCATCACCATTGCAACGTACTTCCACTCCTCAGCCGCCTGGGAGAGAGGAAAATGTTAGACAGTCTCCCTAGGTGGTTTTTGGACTCGCAACGTTCGTGCTTTATATCATCTAAGGGCCCTTCAATTTGTAGATCTCAAAGTCCTCCCATCCCTTAGATGGCATTATCTTTATTTTTTGAACAGATTATTTACAAAGTGATACCTTACTAAGGTGGTCTAGGGGTGGTCACCAGGGTCCATCTTAGGTCAGTAGCTGCCCGTTGCATGCCACCTACTTGTCAAGCCAGACCCATCGTCTGTGCTCATGCGTTTGGACATTTAAACCCAGAGGCATTGGTTTCAAGCCACAGAGCTTACGTTGTTGGACTCCTGGTCTGCCTTCATGGTCTCTGCGATGTACTTGATGCCCTCAATGGCACTTTTCACCTCAGGGTGTTTGATCAGGGGAGAGTGGAAGCCCATGGGTGGAGGCCCAGGCTTCCCAGAAATGTCAGAGATGTCAATGTCTTCTGTAAAAATCTTTTTGTCTTGCTTTTCTCTGGATGGTCTTTTCATTGTGGAGAAAAACATGATATTTGGGATAGTGTCGATAAAAACCTAACATAAAAAAGAAATCCATGCGTGAGAATTATTGTTCGTGAAGCAAGCATAAAACTCTATCTTTGAATTATCAATGTGATTTGGGGCAAGTCATTCAGTATTTTTCAGCTTCTTTGCCTTTAAAACAAAAGAACTATACTAGATTTTTTCAAAGATCCCTCTGTATCCGGGTCCTGTGAAATGACTATGGTTAACCGCGATGATTCTGTAATGTGAGAAGTTCGCCACTGGAGGGAGCCCGTGTGCAGTCATTGACCTTAGGCCACCAATGCGCTTAAAAGCTTCAGCATCCCCTTCAGGTATGGAAAATGCACTAGCAATGTGTCACCAGGATCAAATGGTTAAAGAAAGGGCCCCTCCACTTCAGATATATCCCACAAAACAGCTAGACTGTTTTCTTCTGTTTCCTGTTCCTGAAGAAACTGCAGTACAAGTATTGCCAGGCGTCATCTAATAGCCTTTATGGAAACAGGGACTCTTATTCTCCTCTTAAAAGAGTACATTGTGAGCAGTAGCTGCTTCTGTCAATTCCTGACAACTATTTTACATTCTATACAAAAGATCCTGGACTTCAGTGTCTCCGTAAAGTTTTATCCAAAAAAAAAGACATTTTAAATGTTAAAATTTTAAATTCATAACATAAATATTTGAGACCAAGTGCATCAGTAAAACTCACTTTTTGACCCTCTCCCATCAGGAACCCCCACCTCTCTTGCCCTCATTCTATTCTCAGCAGATGATTTCACCAGCAAAAATAAGCCACTCTGTTCACAAATTGGAAGACATACAAAAGAAATCTCGAAAATGTCATGGCATTTCAATAAAAGGCAGCGTTTGTTGATCTTTTCTAATCAAAGAGATTCTTCAAACTTGCATTTGGAATGAGCTTTGTTAATTCTGTTTTTCTTTTCTCTCTGGGAAGGCTGCAGTTGTTTATTCCTAAAAAGAGGCCAAAGAAAGTTTCTTCCAAAAATTCCCTAAAGCCCAAAAAGAACTTAGTTCCTAAATAGCCCCAGGGGTTAGCTAGAAACCCACTGATACCTGCAAACGGAGGCCAGTAGCTGTGCCCCCTGTGCGGAGTCTGCAGGGGCTGCGGCAACTCACCTTCCGCACCCAGTTGGGCATGACATGGGTGCTGGGTGAGCGGTGGTGTGTGTTGATGACGATGACAGTGATGATGATGGATGCGATGACGAACACCATGGTGAACAGCATGTATTTTCCAATCAAGGGCACGGCACTGGACGTGGAGGGGATCAGCTCCACGATGACCAGAAGGAACACAGTCAAAGACAGTAAGACGGAGATGCTCAGAGTCATCTTCTCCCCTGGAAAGAGAAAACAAACAAAAAAACTCACAACCACCTATCTGGGATGGGCTGCAGTGTTCCCCCCACCCCGCCATTTATATGTGGAAGTCCTGAGCCCTGGGACCTCAGAATGTGACTGAGGTAATTAAGTGAAAATGAGGTCATATGGGGCAGGGGTCTAATCGAGTATGACCGGTGTCCTTATAAGAAGAGGAATTAGGACGCAGATGCACTGAGGGAAGGCCATGGGGCACAGGATGATGATGGCTATTATAAACCAAGGAGAGAGGTCTCACAAGAAACCAACCCTGCTGGTACCTTGATTTTAGAATTCAGTCTCAGGCCAGGCTCAGTGGCTCACACCTGTAATCCCAGCACTTTGGGAGGCTGAGGCAGGCAGATAACGAGGTCAAGAGTTTGAGATCAGCCCAGTCAACATAGTGAAACTTGTCTCTACTAAAAACACACACACACACACACACACACACACACACACACACACACACACACAATTAGCCAGGCGTGGTGGCAGGCACCTGTAATCCCAGCTACTTGGGAGGCTGAGGCAGGAGAATTGCTTGAAACTGGGAGGCGGAGGTTGCAGTGGGCTGAGATCGCACCACAGCACTCCAGCCCAGGCCACAGTGCAAGACTCCATCAAGAAAGAAAGAAAAAAGAGAGAGAGAGAGAAAAAAAAAAAAGAAAAGAAAAAGAATTCCAGTCTCCAGAACTGTGAGAAAAGACATTTCTGTTGTTTAAGCCCCTCAGTCTGTGGTTTGTGTGGCAGCCCAAGCAAACGCAGTCACCACTGAAACCCAAGGGTAAGAGGAGTGTGACCAGCATGTTCTCAGAGCATTATTCTGGGAAATCTCAATGCATTTTTCTCTACAGAATTTCCTAGGTAACTTCCATGCCTTAATTTTTCTGACAGCCGCCAGTGGCAAGCATTTTCATTAGAGGCTGCCAAGCAGGATATAGAACAAGATTCATCTCATGCTCCAGATTTCTATTTCTTGGTGGAACCCAGGGAACTGAGAGGGGCTCTGGGTGGACAAGCTAGACTTGGTGTGGCAGTTGTTTCTTTTGCAGCAGAATGCACTAAACCTTATAAAGCGGAATCATCTCGGGCCTACTTATCACCCAGCAGATGAATGGGCATTCTGTTATTAATAAAGGAGGAAGCTGTAAGACCGAACCCGAGAAAATGACAGAATCTGAGAGGCCAAGGAGAACTCCTGGCATCCCAGGTGATCTTCTGATACAGTGGTTTTGTACCACTCACTGTCTCATTTTCATATAAAAGGAAGTTTGTCTTCTCACTTACTTCTTGTTCTGGTCTGCATTCTAAGGGAGCAGAGATTTCCCCAGCCTCTGCCTCTTTTCTGTAGACCCTTTGATCTCAGGAGGGTGTTGGCTGGGCAAACTCGGCAGCAGGAAAGTCAGGGGCCGAATGACACTGAGGTATTTTTGTGATGCTTGACCACCTTAGATGCAGCAGAGAAGCTCTAGGGCGGACTTTCCCTGGCTGGCCTCGCTGTGTGGTGCTCCTGGTAACCCTCGTGTTACCTGCTTTCAAGTATGAAGCTTTCCCTACTGGCTGCTTCTGGATGCTAGAATATGTGTAGAATATGTATGTATGTATAGGATACAGAGTAGATACAAACAAGAAATTGTCAAATCTACCTGGTGGGTAGGAAAATCTTTCAAAGTGAAAAAGAAGACAATTACAAATACAAAATATTCATCCAGTTATATAAAATTTCTTGATTAATAATAATAGCCAATATTTATCAAGCATAGTGTTTTTTGTTTGTTTTGTTTTGTTTTGTTTTGTTTTTGAAACAGAGTCTTGTAATTCTGCCTGGAAGCCTTCTCCTATTCTCCGTTGCCCAGGCTGGAGTGCAGTGGCACAATCTCAGCTCACTGCAACCTCTGCCTCCCAGGTTCAAGTGATTCTCCTGCCTCAGCCTCCCAAGTAGCTGGGATTACAGGCACGTGCCACCGTGTGCAGCTAATTTTTGTATTTTTAGTAGAAATGGGCCAGGCTGGTCTCGAACTCTTAACCTTAAGTGATCCACTTGACTTGGCCTCCCAAAATGCTGAAATTACAGGTGCAAGCCACTGTGCCCAGCCCCTACATGCTTTTCAAGCACATTTCACTTAATATATAATATAATTTAACTAACCAGAGACTCTGGTTCATTCCCATAATGCCCTGACAGTGTTTTTACTTTAAAAACTTTCATCTGAGGGCCTGGGTGCAGTGGCTCATGCCTATAATCCTAACACCTTGGGAGGCCAAGGCAGGGGAATCACTTGAGGCCAGGAGTTCAAGACTAGCCTGGGCAACATAGCAAGACTCCATCTCTATTTATTTATTTTTTTAATGTAAAAAAGTATCATTTGATTGGAAAGTTAAAAAAAAAAAACGTGTTTTTGATAATCTGTTTAAAAATGAATGCACAACAGGCACAGTGGCTCACACTTGTAATCCCAGCACTTTGGGAGGCTGAGGTGGGGAGATTGAGACCAGGAGTTCAAGGTTGGCCAGGCAACATGGTGCAACCTCGTTTCTACAAAAGATACAAAAATTAGCCGAGTGTGATGACACATGCCTGTAGTCTCAGCTACGCAGGAGGCTGAGGTGAGAGGATCACTTGAGCGTGGGAGGTTGAGGCTGCAGTGAGCCATGATCACACCACTGTACTCCAGCCTGGGTGACAGAGTGAGACCCAGTCTCCGAACAAAAACAAAAACCTGAGTGCAGTCACTGGAACATGCACTCCGTGGGGTGAGGCACTTTCTGTCTTATTCTCTACGTCTGTCTGCCATGTAATATTTGTTCAACAAATGTTCATTGAATGAGTAAATGAATAATCTTTTTTCCTCATTGGCAAGTTGGATTTAAACTTTTGTGGGTTCTTTAAAAAGTCATTTTGATAAAAGTTGCTACCTGTCATAAGCTTGAGGTCTAGCTGTATCATCTTTCTTTTTTTTTTGAACTTGTCTGCCATCAATTGTTTCTAAATAGTGGCTTGGTGGCAGGCATACGGGTGCGCTTTCCTCCTTTCTGGTAGATTGTTGTTGTTTAATAAAATTATGTCACAGATGTGACTGCTCAGTAGGAGGTAAGTAAGTCATCCAGGCTGATATGAGGAAGAATGGGCACTTGGGAAGTAGGGCTTTGCGTGCAAGATACCACCATCTGGAAAAGAGATATGCAAAATCAGGTGGTGAGCAGTGGGTAAAGGAGCAAGACCAGGATTAGTCAGCATATAGAAAGTGACTTCATAGAAAAAGTGGCATGAGAAATGTCTGGGGCCACACGCCTTACCCAGCACATTTCTGGGCACACAGTTGGTATTCAGCAAATAGGTATTGGTGCTTCATACACTTGAACCAGCCTGAGCTATAATGTGCATCTACAGGGTCATGTTCAACTTGACTCTCTGCCGTTCTGGACGTCTGCCCCAGCTGTGAGCTCCACTCACAGTGCCTCTCACCACGGCACACACCCACTCAGCAAATGCACTCTCCCAGTGATGACGACTTGGGTCGATCCGCCTGTTTGTTAGCACATGATTATTTCTGGCTTTCCCCAAAATAGCAGCACGAGACCTATCAGCGTCAGCAGCAGCAGTCATGGCAACCGCACCCACCTGAGTCTGTGGGCAGGTAGAACACCAGGCCAGTTAAGAAGGAGAAGAGCAGGCAGGGGATGATGACGTTGACAATGAAGTAAAGGGGCAGGCGCTGCATGACGAAGTGGTAGGTGATGTCCAGGTAGGGGGTGTCAGGGCAGCAGGAATAGAACACCCAGTGCTTCCAGCCCCGGGACTCCTTGATCACCCACTCCCCGCTCTCCATGAAGTTGCTCAGGTCTGGCTGGTCACTTTCCTGAGAAAGAAAATGGAGTTTGGAAATCCCAGGCATGTCAAACTCCTGGGGCAGCGTCTTGTAACCAGCAGTGACAAGGCCACAGATTCCAGCTCTGTGGGTCACACACCCAGGAGGGACTCTGAGGCACTACAGCTTTGGGGTCTTAGATTCCTTTCCTATGACATAAAGGGGTTTGGACTAGTGGCATTCTCCATTTTGTCTACACATTCAAGTCACCTGGGAGCTTTAAAGCATATTGATGCTACTGCCACCCCAGAGCCATTCCATCAAAATTCTTGAGACTGAGCCTGGGTGTGGGAAATTAATTTAAGCTCCCATTTAGTTCTCCCTTCCCAAATAACTCAAACCAACTAACTGGTACGGAAAGCCCCTGGATAATCATAGGCTGTCAGGACCAGTTAGAACTTGGGATGTTCTACCTTGGGTAACACCCCAAGTTCTAACTGGTCCTGAGAGCCTATGATTATACAGGGGAAAGTTGGAGGCCCGAATCACACTTTTCCTGAAGCCACCCTTATCATATGTGGCCACCACCTACCGGGTTGATGGCCACGACAGAACCATCATAGGTCCAGGTGCCCAGCTTCATGCTGCAGTTCTGTTCATCAAAGGGAAAGTGGGTGACGATGATCTCACAGTAGCTTTTAAAGATGGCTGGAGGTGTCCATGTGATGTGGCCAGTGTAGTCCAGGAGCACTTTGGTGAACTTGACAATAGCAAAGTCACCATCTGCACTACAATTGGGAGAAAAGAGAAAAATTGCTCTAAGTGACAGATGAGCCTTCCATTCTGCTTGGGGATGTGAACAGGAGACAGCTGTTAATTATTCAGGTGCTAATTATAGCAGCTCTCTTTCGGGCAGTGTCACTTTTTATCTATTGCAATGTTTTCCAGATTTGATAATAAGAATCATCAGGGTGCTTGTTAAAAACACAGAGCCCTGCACACCCTCTAAGTAAGCCCTGAATTTGAGGATCTGAAAGAATATGGGAACCCACAGTTTTAAAGAAATAACAGAGGTGGGGAGGGATAGCCTGGGGAGAAATGCCAAATGTGGGTGAAGGGGAGAAGAAAAGCAAAGCACACTGCCATGTGTGTACCTACGCAACTGTCTTGCATGCTCTGCTCATGTACCCCAAAACCTATAATCCAATAAAAAATTAAAAAAAAAAAAAAAGAAATAACAGGTAACATGGGTCCACTGCATCCCAGATTATTTTTCCAGCCATCAGGAGTATTTGTAATGTTAATATCTATCTATCGCCTCCTGGATGTACTCTGAGAATTCTTTGGAAAAAAAAAACACACAGGAATTTTACAAAAAAGCACCTCCAGCAGCTCATTGCTGTGACAGGCAGGTTAGGGAAGGGCCTATTACTTTTTTCTTTTCTTTTTTTTTTTTTTTTTGAGACAGAGTCTCGCTTTGTTGCCCAGGCTGGAGTGCAGTGGCGCAATCTTGGCTCACAGCAACCTCTGCCTCCTGGGCTCAAGCAATTCTTTTGCAGCCTCCCAGGTAGCTGGAATTACAGGCACCCACCACCACACCCAGCTAATTTTTTTGTATTTTTAGTCGAGACTGGGTTTTACTATATTGGCCAGGCTAGTCTTGAACTCCTGACCTCAAGTGATCCACCCACCTTGGCCTCCCAAAATGCTAGGATTACAGGTGTGAGCCACCACGCCTAACTGGCCTACTACTTTTTAAAGAACTATTTAGAACTCACTGAGGTGGAGTCACAAACTTAGATACTGTCAAGGCCAGGCAGGTGAGGAGTGTAGGGTGACACTGCCAAACAGAGCACCCCTCTCTCCTGTCAGGAAGGTGCCACCTTGCAGTGTCCCCTGAGATGCCCATGTGGGAATGAAGGCCCAATCTTGCCAGATATTTGGATTCTTCCTTAGAAGCTGGAAACCTAGATTTTTTCAAATCAAAAATTGCCAGTTGCTGCCAGGTACAGTTGTTCATGCCTGTAATCCCACCACTTTGGGAGACTGAGACAGGATGATCACTTGAGTCCATGAGTTCAAGACCAGCCTGGGCAACAGCGAAGCCTCATTTCTACTAAAAATTTTTAAAAAATTAGTGAGACATGGTGGTACCAGCTACCTGGAGGCCGAGGCAGAGGATTGCTTAAGCCCAGGAGTTCAAGGTTGCAATGAGCTATGATCACACCACAATACTCCAGCAGAGACCTTGTCGCAAAAAAAAAATCTGCAAGTTTAAATGTTGGATTTTCCTGGAGAAGCTATAAACCAGATTTTAATGTGATATTTCTCGATTTTCAAATGTTGGCAATGATTTATTATTTTTAAAAAGACGCCATGGGAGGTTCTGAAAAAACAAAATAAGCCACTTCTGCAGGCCTTATTCAGAGGGTAACTGACTCTTTGCCTAAACAACAGCCTGCGTTCAGGGGATATAGCAGAGGGCAGGGTGTTAGAATAGGTGTTGAATGGGTGGGAGGGGTCTGCCTCAGTGGGATTTCAGGGGCTTCATGGCATATGTTGGTTCCTCATGTCGTAAATCAAGAGATTTTATTCCCATTGATTTTTCCTTGGGACTGAAGTGGGCTCTTTACCTGGAAAACTGTGTGGCATTGGATCCCTCCAAAACAGCCCCAAAGGACAGAGAGTCATAGGTTTGTCTTAGTCTCTTCTAATAAGCAGGTAAAACAGGGCTCTCTCCCCACCAGGGTGTTCCTGAGTGAGTTTGGCAAAAGAACCAAAGGATTTTAATTGCTCCTCTCAGATTCCTACTGCAAGAGAAACTTAACAATACTCTGCTCTCTCAGCCCATTTGTCCACAAATGATCAGATAATTTGGCTCAAGCTTGAACCCCAACTATAATTGGACAACATGTGGCAAAAAATCGAAGTTGGGAAGGGCCTGCCTTAAAGGGTATCATTTTCATCCACTAGCCCTGTCACCTTCCCTAAGCCAGCTAGGACACACAGCTTGTGAACTCCCTACACATGTTGTATAGTGTCAGACTATAAATCCTCCGGGCCCGTGTCGCATGCTTCTGCCTGGGAAGGATGCTTTTTGAAACGAGCATTTTCTGACAAATGAAGGGCGTATGCTAATTAATGCGTCATTAGACTGGAGTGTCTTGAATCATATTATAATTTCACAATATGCAGGCTGTCATGGGCCCCAGAGGACGGGCAGAGAAGGCATCCCAGGCCAACAGCAGCAGTGGGTGTCGGGAAGGCATTCAGGATGTAATGAATAACAACTCCAGGAGGCTCAAATATTTGGTAGGGAGGACACTGGATTCCAAGGAACTCAGCGATAGGACGTTTGGGTGCCTTGGAAAGTTGTCACGTGCGCTTCAGGGGCTCTCAGGGATTAAATGTCCCCTACCCTCAGCCTGGATTCAATTTGGCTGCAGAAATCCTTTCTCTTTAAGACATGAGACACCATATGGTAACCCTAGCCTGTCAACTTGGCTCTTGGTTTAGAGTGATTTCTTTTTTTTTAATTTTGTAGAGATGTTGTCTTGCTATGCTGCCCAGGTTGATCTCAAACTCCTGGCCTCAAGCAATCCTCCCACCTTGGTGCTCCCAAAGTGCTGAGTTTACAGGTAGGTGTGAGCCACCATCCTGGCTGATTCAACATCAGCAGTGGTGAGAAGCATTCCGAGGGTGCAGCCCTTCCATTAGGGCGCTTCCTCCACCTGCTCCAGGAGCGCCCTCTGCCACCTGTGCAGTTTGCTTACTTGTTATAGAGAACAAGGTCTGGGCGCCAGATCTTTTCTGAAGGAATATGAATTTTTTTCACACCGCCATAGTCATCTGGATTCCATTTTAGGTTGTAGTCCACCCATTGCTAGAAACGAAGACATGCTGCTAGTTAAAAAGCCAAAAACAGTTTTTAACATCTAAGGTTATCAAGGACCCTGCTGTGCATGGGAATTCAGTATTGACAGAAATTGTGCTTCCATAAGAAAAGTTTGATTCAGAGTTCAGCTTTCACTTTAGTAAACAAGGACAGCAAAAATATAGCACTGACGACACGCTTGCACTGTTTCCAGCACCTCACCTATGTTCACTCATTTAGTCCTCACACCATCCCATGAGGTAAGAGTGATTACTGACCTCATTCTACAAATGAGAAAATAAAGGAACCCTCCAAGTCACGCAGCTGGGAGGTGGCAGATCTACCATGTCACCCTGTCCACCCCCAGGAAAGGAGAAAGACCCTAGTGTGAACATTTTCCTCAAGCAGGCAACATCTTTTTTTAAAAGTATCATATATTTTTCTACATTATAAAAGTAATGGCTGGGCAAGATGGCTCATGCCTGTAACCCAGCACTTTAGGAGGCTGAGGCAGGTGGATCACTGGAGGTCAGGAGTTTGAGACCAGCCTGGCCAACATGATGAAACCCCGTCTCTACTAAAAATACAAAAATTTGGTGGGCATGGTGGTGCGTGCCTGTGGTCCCAGCTACTCGGGAGGCTGAGGCAGGAGAATTGCTTAAACCTGGGAGGTGGAGGTTGCAGTGAGCCAAGATTGCACCACTGCACTCCAGCCTGGCAACAGAGTGAGACTCTGTCTCAAAAAAAAAAAAAAAAAAATTAGCCAGGAGTGGTGGTGGGCCCCTGTAATCCAAGCTACTCGGGAGGCTGAGGCAGGAAAATATCTTGAACCCAGGAAGCGGAGGTTGCGATGAGCTGAGATCACGCCACTGCACTCCAGCCTGGGTGACAGAGCAAGACTCCATCTCAGAAAAAAGAAAAAAGGAAAAAAAAAGTAATACATATTGAGCATCTCAAATCTGAAATGCTCCAAAATCCAAAACTTTTTGAGCACCAACATGACACTCAAAGAAAATGCTCACTGGAGAGTTTTGAATTTCAGATTTTCAGATTTGTGATGTTCAACTGGTAAGCATATGCAAATATTTCAAAATAAAAAATCCAAAATCTGAAACACTTCTGGTCCCAAGCATGTTGGAAAAGGGGTACTCCACCTGCATGTGCCCACTGCAGCACAATGCTACGGGTTCAACTGTGTCCCTCTAAAATTCATGCTGAAGCCCTAACTCTCAGTGTTTCAGAATTTGGAGATAGGTTCTTTACAGAGGTAATTATGTTAAAATTAAGTCATTAAAATAGACTCTCATTTAATATGACTGGTGTCCTTATAGAAAGGGGAAATTTAAGGACATGTATATATTTAAATATACATATATATCGCATACACAAGAACACCATCAGAACATGAAGACGGTCATCTACATGCTGAGGAGAGAGGCCTAGGACTGATTCTTCCTCACAGCCCTCAGGAGGGACCAACCTTGCCAATACCTAGACTTCTATCTTCCAGAATATGGGATGATAAATTTCTGCTGTTTAAGCCACCCAGTTACGGCAGCCCTAGAAAACTAACACACACAGAAGAAGCCCTAAAGTTTAAAAAAACAAACAAAAAACCCAAAACCAAACAGGATCCATACTTTCAGCATCTCAAAAATATCTATTTCAACATTTTGGTACATATCCCTGGTACTCAAATTGATTTCCTCTGGGCCCAGGTTTAATTACAGGGGGAATAAAAATGACGTGACATACATGCAATTATCTGGCTGAGTTACCTGTTTCAGACGCACGTTGGTTGTCACGATCTGATTTACTTCGTCCTGGAAAAAAAACAAGGCATCATCTTTATGGGGAAGAGAGGGGACCCAGGGGAGAAAACCCTGAGGTGAGAGGTGCGGGTGTGTGGGCAGCCCCGAGCACTCTTGTCTCACCACGTTGATGAGCTGTATCAGCTGCAGGCCCACGGTGACCTCCACGACCTGGCGGTGGTCTTCCACTGGCCGCACCACACTGCTGTAGTCTTTAAATAGCTTTGCCACCAGACGGGTCTCATGTTCGGAGCCCAGGACGAGGCCAGCTGAGACAGCAGATGACACCCACACTGTCAGATTCTGCTCCCCACCCTCCAAACACACTAACATGAGGAACTGAGGCATAAGCAGCTAATGGAAGGCACACAGGCCTCCTTGTTGAAAGGCTCCCAAATGCAGCTGTTATTGCTTTAAGTTTTTTTCCAAGTACAGTTGCTGGTATGGTCCCTTACCAGGTGACCGTAGGGTGTGCCAGATAATCACAATTGTATTTTGGACAGGTGACATTCCTTAATGCAGCCTGGCTGAATCAAGTTTGCCAGACACACACACACACACACACACACACACACCCCTCCGTGTTTTAGAGTCTGGTCATGTGTAATGAAATCTTGCACTGGCTACATCAGATCTCATGACGCCATGAACAGCCAAAACTGATGCTGGTTCAAACCCACTAGAGTGGTCATAATTAACAAGTGGAAAATAACAAGGGTTGGGGAGGTTGCAGAGAAACTGAAACCTCATATGTTGCTGGTGGGAATGTAAAATGGCAGTTCCTCAACAAGTTCAACACAGTGACCATACAATCCAGCAATCCCACTCCTAGGTCCACACCCGAAAGAAGAGAGCACTATTTACAATAGCCAAAGGGTAGAAACAGTTGGAGTGTCCATCAACAGGTAAATGGATGGATAAACTATGGTATATCCATATAATGAACTATTATGCAGACATGAAAAGGAATTATGTACTGCCACATGCTACAACATGGATGGCGCTTGGAAACGTTTTGCTAAGAGAAAGAAGTCAGGCACAATGGGGCAAGTATTCTATGATTTCATCTACGTGAAGTATCCAGAATAGGTAAATCCATGCTGAGAGAAAGCAGACTTGGAGTTACCAGGGACTTGGGGGAGAGAGAGATGGGGTGGGAATCATTAATGTGCCTGAAGTTTCCCTTTGGGTTGATGAAAACATTCTGGAAATAGATAGTGGTGATGGTCATATAACATTATGAGTGGACTTAATGCCACTGAATTGTATGAAGTGGTTAAAATGGTAAATTTTATGAAATGGGTATTTTACTATAATTTTTTTAAATGCCACTGCTGGCAGATACATGCCCCAGTTAAGTTGTTAAAATAGAGTGAAAACTGTGCTTTTTTGATCTGGGTTTGGGGTTCCTAGTTGGAAAATTAGTGATTCCAAGGAACCTTGACTATATTTTCCTTCAGGATAGACAGCAATACCTAATACTCTCAGAGCCCACAGCCCCCTTTTCTGTTTACAGCTCTTTTCAATCTTCATCAGCTGCAGACAAGGCAGGCAGGCAGATATTCTCACCTGAGATTCAGAGAGGCTGGACAACTTGTCCAAGGTCCTGTGACTAGCAAGGGCAAAGCTCGGATTGGAATCCTGTCATTCTGTGCTGCGCTCCTGCACTAACTCTTGATACTCACAGTGTGTTGTGAGCTGTCCTGGAAACTCACAACGGCATGTGCCACTATTCCTTTGAGAAAATGTGTTCCATATCCCAAGTGTCTTATGAAGGATCTTTGTAATTCAAGCCTCTGGAGACTGCATGTCCAGAGCTGGGAGAGGAAGTGGACACACGATCCGTTTGCCTTCATTCATGTAACCAGATCTCCCCTTTCCACAGGCTGTTGCTGAGGCTGCAGTGCAGTGGCACAATCACAGCTCACTGCAGCTTCGACCTCCCAGGCTCAAGCAATCCTCCCATCTCAACCTCCCCCAACCAAGCAGCTGGGACCCCATCTGTATTAAAAATACAAAAATTACTGGGGCGTGCACCACCACACCCACCCAATTTTTGTATTTTTTGTAGGGACAGGGTTTTGCCATGTTGTCCAGGCTGGTCTCAAACACCTGAGCTCAAGCCATCCACCCGCCTTGTCCTCCCAAAGTGCTGGGATTACAGGTAAGAACCACCTCACCTGACTAGTTTCATAAGTTTTCTGAACCCAGAATGTTCTGAGGGCACCCAAGGTGCCCAACCATGCAGATATTTCACACGATCTTTCCCCAAAAGCACCTTTTGCATTTGAGGACTCTTGAAGGGAATATGTTGTTTGAAGATCCAGTTTTTGCCACCACCCCATTGAGCCCCTGGGACTTGATAATCCTGTCCTCCATGCGTTTTCTATCCTGGGCCTTGTCCATTCATGGTGGGGTTGCAGACTGGAATGGATTACTGAGCGCCTTGGCCACTGAATTTGAAGCTGTTGTTTGGCCTCGCCCTGGGTTGCTTATTGTTAAATGACTGTTCATTCCAATTTGACAGGAAGAACATATTAGAAAGCAGAGGATACACAGATGGTCAGCATTATGTGCAGGAGAACTATGCAGACCAACCCTACAGCCCACTATGAGGAAGGGGAGGTCCAGAGAAGCAGGTGTAATCAGCATTCCAGCGACAGTCGCCTCCTCCTCTCCCGCCCTAGCCAATAACGAGGTGACCGTTCCTCCCATAAGGAATTTCTAAGGAATCCCCAAGGAGGGCTTCATTTCTTAGATGGTTTCATGGGTTTCCTTTTCTTTCTTCCGCCCCAAAGCAGTGTAGAGTGTTGGAAAACTCACAGGACTCCAGAACTCTATGATTCCCTTCACAACTCCAATATGGCCTGGAGAGTTGGGTTAGTTCTTCATGGATTCAATGAACTACAGTAAATACTTTTATAAAAAGATAGGGTATAAACAAACATGCAGATAAAAATTAAATAATGTCAAATCTCTATTTTTAGCAAAATTATATTTAGAATCTTTATTCAAATGATGGTACCATTAATTCATTCATGAAATATTTGTTGAGCATTTACTGTGAGCAAAACATTGTTTTGGGAACTTGGAGATATTCAAAAGTGAATCCATCTTTCTACGCTCATGGAGACTGATGTTTGTCATTTATGTAATTAACTGTGAACAAGGTGGAAAGTGATAAGCCACAAGAAAGACGGCAATGAAGTACTTGGGATTCCAGAGGCAAAGAGAAGAAATGAAAGGTGCTGTATAAATAGAATAGAGATCATGCTGTGTTAAGCTAACACAGGAAAAGGGTCCCTGATGTAAATGACCATTTTGTCCACAAAGGACTGATTCTAAGAAGGGAAACTCAACCACAATTTCAAAGTGTTCCTTTTGTACCACCCTGGTTCAGTTTGTATTTGTATGCAGGAAATAGCCTCCTGGGCTGGGCAAAAGAAATTTTGAACTGTTACTAGTCCCATGGACCATTATTATCCTAACCTGATCCTGTAGCTCTTGCTACCTTTGGCTAATTCAGGCTGTGTTTTGTGACTGTTCATGTAACGAACCACGTCTCACATTGACCACATTCCAAATGTATAAATTAATTGACCTTGGGCAGGTCAGCTTTAGTTTTCTCGTAATAAAAAATTGAGAATGTTGGACTGCGTGATCTAGCTCTGAATTTCTATAAATCACCCATGGGAATTGATACCAGCAAACTCTAGATTTGACCTAAATATATATCACATTTCTTTAATAGCTAATCATGCATTTTTGGTTAGCAGTAACCAAAATCCTAAGAGATCTCTTAAGGATTCTTATAGTAAAGCATACCATTTAAGAATTTTTCAGTGAGTGTGGTTTTGTGTGTACACACACACACACACACACACACACACACACACACCAGGCCAGCTTTGGTTGGATAAAGTCCAAATCCCACAGGATATAATTTATCTGAGTTTAGGCTTTTTCACTCAACTCTGCTGTTGAAAAAAATTAATAATAAAGTTTTTGCCTCTTGCCCAGAAGGCCTGTGTTTTTCAGAGCAATATTAGAAATGAAAACTCACAGGATGTCAGCCACCTTGTTTCTCAGTTGGGATGATATCACCAGTAAACTTTTATGTGAAGCAATCACCAAACATGTCCCATTTCCCTCTAGCGGAAGTCTGGGATTCAGGATGGTGTTTCAGCTGCTGTGTTAGGACACATTCCAGAGTAGAATGCTGGTCAAACGCTGTGCAAGGTTTATAGTTTCAGTTCAAACCCAAACTATATATAGTGACATCCTTAAAAAAAAAAGTAGATAGGAATGCATTCATATGGAATTTTTTTTTTACTCTAGAAATAAAACAAAATTATAAAACATTTCTGTCTCTATGGAGAGAGTTTAGTTACAATTATTAACTGGTTTCTAGCTCCAGCACATGTAGCTGTCAATCAGTCCTCTTTATTATTAGAATTCTCCTGGAGCAGTAAAGGGGCTTAACTCCATCGTTGGTGGTGAGAAGGCACCATTCTAAGTCTCTATGGTTGTTTAAATATGAACCTCAGGACACTACCATGGTCTACAAGGGGTCCAGGTCCTGTAAGTTGTGCAGAGTTTTCAGAGGGGTGAGTCGGCTGCCAGGCATGATAGAGGCAGAGACGTGCGTGTCTACCTTGTAGTCTTTGGCCAGGCAGTTCCTATTTTAATTAGGTAGTGCAAACTAAAAATCTTTATCCAAAAACTCAGTCAAGCGAACATCAGGAAGAAACTGACAGAGCAGCCTCTGGTTGGGGAGGCTCTGCCATTTTGTGGTCTCATCAAAGAAGCAAGACTTTGATTATGGGGCCTCCAGGACTTTAGCCTCAAAGGAGAGCCCTGTCCCCACCCCTGACCCTAGCACTTACCTGAGCAAAGGCTAAAAAGCACAAAGAGAGGTCGGGGCTCCATAGGGTACCAGAGCTGGCGTGGACCAGTGCAGGGTGGCGGTCCGTGCTGCTCACTGGCAGTCTGGCTGGGTGCTTGGCTGCTGGAGGGTTTGGAAGGCGAGTCGGCTCAGTGGAGCTATTGTTTTACACCACCTGTTTGCGGGAGCGACAGCTGGGCTGCTCTCAGCCCTGGATCCCAGGGAGTTGCTGGGACAGTACACCATTACAGATGTGCCTGGCTTTACACAATTGCTTCCCCTCGACAAGCTGAGTATGAACTGCATTATATTTTAAATGTACCAGGAGTCAGATCTTAACGGAAAAAAGGTATAGAAAGGAAGGAATTATTTTGAAGGGTGAGCCAAACCCCTCCCTTTTGTGTAAAGCAGAACCTCATCTCTGTGGGTTGATTTGATGAGGGTCATTTAGTCTGAGTAGATACCTGTTTGTCCTAAACCACAAAAATCCATATTCTGCAAACATGGCAATTCATTTCCTCTGCTTCTGTGTTAGGCTGAGGGTGCCCAGGGCGTTTGTGACTGCCTGGATTTCAGAAGAGTACAGCTGGTGTTGAATCTGCTGCTGGAGTCAGCATGTTGATTGGGTTTGGTTTTTAACAAAGACAGCTTCTTCCATAAAACTGGCTTTACTGGCCCCCAGGGTGGCTGCTCCAACCCCTGTCTCAGTATCAGGTGATACCTATCCCACGTGGACCATTAGCTGCAGCAAATTGCCCACGCCCTCTGCACTGTGGTTCAAGCGAGGAGTAATTATCGGGAAAAGGTGTGCCACCACATCAGCAGTTGTTCCGGGTCCCTGCCTCCTTCCATCAGTCCCTCTGCCCACTCTCACTCAGGAAAGCAAAGAGCAGAACAGTTCAGCTTTTCAATTCTCTTCCTTGAAAAACATCCTAAAAACCAGCAGTTAGTAATTTCTCAGTCTGAGAAGTATTGTTACCCCAGCTATGCTTCTTTGCAGGGTGTGAGGTGGGTTCCCAGAAGGAGATCATTGTTTAAAGGTACCCTGCCTGTTCCCTCTGGGCCTCCTTCCCACGTGGAATTAGGTAGGAAATGTCCTCTCACCTCAAGCCCACGGACAACATCCTGACAGAGCCTCTTATCCCAGTGGATCCAAACAAATCAGTAGTGAAGGAGCTTCGAGGGCAGAGGAGAGAGCTGCAAGCTCACACTATTTACATATTTTGTTTAAACTATGGGAGATCAGTTAACTCTTTGCTAAAAAAAATTGGTTCTCTCCCTTTCATGGAATAGCCCTGCGGCAGAAATACAACCCCCACCCTCCGACCAGCCCCTTCCATCTAAATGGAGCCAGGGGACTGGGCTCTGGTCAGTGGCATGCGAGGAAAAATGTTTTTAGACTCACAAACCTAGCAGAGCTCAGCCCTGCCCTTCTAGCTTTCTGATGGCTGGAATGGACATGATCCCAGGGCCACCTTAGAAACCATGTTTGGAAGGTGGTGTTGCTTTTGACATTCTGAATCCCTGAATGACTGCATGGAGGGGGACCCCCCTATCCACCTGGTTACCACCCAGCACTATTGCAGTGAAAACAAAACATGTATTGTGTCGATCCATCAAAATCCTTGGGTTTATTCATACAGCAGCTGGTGTTCCATAATTAATACAAAATGTAGCCCTTTGCACTAGTATCCTGGGGTTAAAAATAAATTCTAAAATGTGTAGCACTGCAGCAGAAGGTAAGAAAATTGATATTGGAGGCTGAAAAGATGAAGACCCCTGTTATATAGTACCAAATAATTTTATAACACTGTTGTCCTCAATTGCTTGGTGAACAACGTGTCTACTGAGCCTATAGCTCCCAGAGAAGAGGTTGGTAAACCCAAAGTTAGCGCACGATGGTTCTCCTCTGCTTTGTTTAGCAAGTCAGTACAAGGAAGAGCTGAGCTCAGGCAAAAATGCACTGGCTCAAGAACAGAAATGAAAAGGAGTAGAATGAGTCCAGAAATGTAGTCTTCTGTTTTGAACTTCAAAGAGTAAGTGAAAACATGGAATAAAGGCTTTGATCAACCAAAGCCCGTTAAGACTTCTCTTTAAATAGGCAGTTTCATTACAACAGCAAAGATTACTTGGAGGGTGCTTTCTTCACAGCCAAGTCTGTTTTTTTCAGATGGCTTCATGAGGGCTGCTATTAAGTTGGAGGAGGAGGTATAGTGGTTAGGATGCAAAGAAATGCATCAGATTGGAGAAGTGTGTCCAGGAAAGAACCCCATGTGTGTACATAGGCACATAGGAATAATGGAAACAAATATTGCAAAAGCTTTCTCAGTTTTTGAAGGAATTGTATTGCCAAAGAGTTCGTGAACCCAGGCTGCAAAAGTTTGGTTGCTCAAGGCTTAAAGCAGTCCTTGAGTTCCCAACCACACACTGCCAGAAAGCAGGCTCCAAGATCTGCACGGTCTTCCAAAAAGAGTGCTGTCTCCATCTCGCTTCAGATATGGCCATGAGGGACAGTGGGCAAGGAAGAATCTCCAAGGGGGCATAGCCAGAAATCTCAGACAGCAACAGACAAGGGAGTTCCACCCACAAAGCAGAATTGGGGCAAATCGAGGAATCTGTTGAGACCCTCTCTGTGCCCACCCAGGTGCCACTGGCTCTCTGCTTACAGCCAATGCCTGCAACCCTCTGCCCGAGGGATTATTTTCTTTTTTTCTTTTCTGCAATAGTAACACAAGGAACAAGCCGGAAATGTAAAAATGTTGCTGCCTCCAGAAACAGGCCTCAACCGATGTCCGAGGATAAATATTCCCACTCCCTCACCCCTTGGACTGGGTAACTCCCAAGCGTGCCCTGCACTGCTGCTCTGTGAGAGTGAGTCCCTGTGATTCATGCTGGAAATGGCTCAATAACCCTCCCTTTATTGATTTCCTGTCCCTCTCTGTCTCATCTCCCCACTCTGCCACCTCTCAAGTACACTCCCTTCAGGGTCAGGGGGACCTCAACACAAAACAGAATTTGTCCTGCTGCCTGGCACAGCGTCTTTACAGTGATGCTATTGGAGGCTCTCCCCAGCATTTCCACCATCTTATCACGTCTCTTCTAAAGGTGAACAGTTGAAACTGCAGACTTAAAAAAGTGAGTACAACCGCTATTCATACTATCCTCTGGAGTAATGTACTTTTTTCATTTAAAAGTGTATTATTCAAGTAATTTGAATTTATTATAGAGAATTTAGAGAACAGATGAATGAAATGACCCACTGTCTTCTACCCAGAAATATTTATCTTTATGTTTTAGTTTGTGTCTGTTCAGACCCTTCTTCTATGCATTCCATCCATTCATTCACTGAACATTTTTTCACTGGGTTTTGCTATGTGCCAAGCAGTGTTCTAGGCATTTGGAATATATCAATAAATACAGCAAACAAATATTCCTAGTCCTCAGGAAAAATGCATTCTAATTGGAGGCGATGGACAATTAAAAAATATATATATTACAATGTATTTATATATTATACATGTTATATAACATATATTTATACATTATATATGTCACATAATATATAAATAAGATGTATATCCTTTTAACAATGTATTCATGTATTATATAAAATATAACATATGTTATATAATATAAATGTTAATGAATAACATATGTGTTATATATGTATTGTATTATATATTACATACATACTAATTGCATGATTTTATAATATATAATATTATAATTATGTAATATATGATACATTATAATTGATATTATATGTGTTATATATGTTATATATAATGTATAATGCATCTATGTTATATATTATACTTGTATACATGCATATATTATGCCATATATACTATGTATTATAGTATATATAGTTACATATATATGTTACATAATGTATAAATTGTAAAAAAGATGTATATATCATTTTTATTTATATAAAAATATATATCTTCATATATCTTTTTGTTATATATTTTATATAAATAACATATGTAATTTATATAAGTAAATTGTTATACCTAATAAGTAAATTGTTTAATGTGTCAGGTAAAAAAATGCTATAGGAAATAGAAAAAGCAGAGCAGGATAAAAGGAGACCAGGACAGCTAAAAGGGGGTTGCAATTTAAACACAGCAGGTAGGGTGGGCTTCACTGAGGAGGTGGCATTTGAAGGAGATGCAGATAGATATCTGTGGCAGGAGCATTGCAGGCAGAGTAAGCAGCAACACAGAGTCCCCAAGGAGAATGGGACTGGTGTGCTCGGGCATAACCAGGAAGCCAGGGGTTGGAGCAGGGTAAGAGATGGGGAAAACCCTAGGAGATGAGATCAGGGAGCAGCCCAGGGAAAGGAGGACGCAACATGCATTCTCGACTTTGATTCTCTGTGAGATGAAGAGCCTCTGCAGTGTCTTGAGCTGCTGGGTGACACCATCTGACTTATGCTGTCAAAGGTCGACGCTGGCTGCTGTGAGGACACCATGCAGTAGGAGCTACCACTGCAGTAATCCCTGAGGTACATGGTGATGAACTGGACCACAGTGGTTGCAGTGAAGATGGTAAGAAGTCATTAGATTTGGGAAATGTATTTTTGACATGAGGGTTAACGGGATTTCCTGAAGGATTTGATCTAGGATGCAAGAAAAAGGGAGGAGTTAAAGATGATTTGTAGGGTTTTGGCTTGAGCATAAGGAAGGATTTAAATGCCAACCAGTGGATTAAGTACGACCGTGGATGAGCAGGTTTAAAGGCAGGAAATTCAAGGGTTCTGCTTGGGACGTGATTAACTGGAGACGGTTATTAGAAATGTGAGCAGGCAGTTGGATTTGTGAGTCAGTAGTTAGGAGATCTAGAGTAGATGTCATTTAAAGCCACAACAGGATAAGGTCAAATAAATCAGTATAGGCAGAGAAGAGAAGAGCACTAACATTAAAATGCTGGAGGCTGGCTCACTCCTGTAATCCCAGCACTTTGGGAGGCCAAGGGAGAATGATTGCTTAAGGCCAGGAGTTGGAAGTTACAGTGAACTGTGATAGCACCAGTGCATTCCAGCCTGGGCAACAGAGTGAGACTCCGTCTCAAAAAAAAAAGTTTCAAGGCCAGGCACCGTGGCTCATGCCTGTAATCCCAGCACTTTGGGAGGCTGAGGCGGGTGGATCACGAGGTCAAGAGATCGAGATCATCCTGGCCAACATGGTGAAACCCCGTCTCTACTAAAAATACAAAAAATTAGCTGGGCATAGTGGCACGTGCCTATAATCCCAGCTACTCAAGAGGCTGAGGCAGGAGAATTGCCTGAACCCAGAAGGCAGAGGTTGTGGTGAGCCGAGATCACGCCATTGTACTCCAGCCTGGGCAACAAGAGCAAAACTTAGTCTCAAAAAAAAAAAAAGTTTCAAATGGGATTTACTATATATGCTTGCCTGCCTGCCTGCCTGCCTCCCTCCCTCCCTCCCTCCCTCCCTCCCTCCCTTCCTTCCTTCCTTCCTTCCTTCCTTCCCTCCCTCCCTCTTTCCCTTCTTCCCTCCGTTCCTTCCTTCCTTCCTTCCTTCCTTCCTTCCTTCCTTCCTTCCTTCCTTCCTTCCTTCCTTCCTCCCTCGCTCCCTCTTTCCCTTCTTCCCTCCCTCCCTCCCTCCCTCCCTTTCTCCCTTCCTTCCTTCTGTCTTTGTTGTTCAGGCTAAAGTGCAGTGGTGTGATCTCGGCTCACTGCAGCTTCTGCTTCCCAGGCCCAGGTGATTCTCCTCTGAGTCTCCCTACTAGCTGGGATTACAAGCGTGTGCCACCACACGTGGCTAGTTTTTTGTATTTTCAGTAGAGACAGGGTTTTACCATGTTGGCCAGACTGGTCTCAAACTCCTGACCTCAGGTGATGCATCCACCTTGGCCTATCAAAGTCCTGAGATTACAGGCGTGAGCTGCCACACCTGGCCCATTTTCATTTTTAATGTTTTATTTTTTTAACGTATTATAATTTGTTAACCAATTTCTTATTGGACATTTTCATTTTTTATTTTTAATGTTTGCTTTTATAAATAATTATGCAGTGGACATCCTTATACATAGAAATCAGCCCAATTTTCTAACTATTGCCTTAGGATGAACTTCTAAGAGTAGAAGTGCTGGGTCAGAAAATAAAAACATGAGGCCAGGCATGGTGGCTCACGCTTGTAATTCCAGCACTCTAGGAGGCCAAGGCAGGTGGATTGCGAGGTCAGGAGTTCTAAACTGGCCTGGCCAGCATGGTGAAACCCCGTCCCTACTACTAATACAAAAATCAGCCTGGTGGGCATCATGGTGGTGCACACCTGCAATCCCAGCTACTTGGGAGGCTGAGGCAGGAGAATCACTTGACCCTGGGAGACGGAGGTTTCAGTGAGCCAGGATCACCCCACTGCACTCCAACCTGGGTGTCAGAGTGAGACTTCATCTCAAAAAAAGAAAAGAAAATGAAAACATGTTAAATAATTTGAATGCACATCAAGTAACTAAATCTCCATTTTAGAATCAACCAACGTCTTTCAGACCTGCTCTTCTCACAGTTATATTTTTCTATTATACCTGTCATGGTTGCATATGTTACATTTATTTGTGTGATTATCTGATTAATGTCTGTTTTTCCCACTAGACTCCAACGCAGTGAGTGCAGAGATGACACCTGTTTCTGCTCACCGCCGTATCCTGAGCTCCTGGCTGACAGCTTGTCATGCAGCAGGCAGTCAGTAAATAACTGCTGATGAGGGAACGAGCGGATGGAAAGCTCAATCCAACGAACAGGGTAGAAGATCACACTAGATAATGTCATTTGGGGATAAAATAAAATGTGACTGTCAGTCACGCCCAGTGCCATGCAGGGTACCTGGTATGCAGCTCCGAAAGTATTTGCAGTTGACTAATTAATGCATGAATGAGGTATATCTCTTTTATAAAAGTCCACCTTCTTGTGTGCCTTAATTAATGGAATAATTGTGGATCCTCCCAAGATCACTTTGGAGAAGACACAGTCTGACTGCATTTGGGTGCAGCTCTCTGGGGCCTGGCTAACTCAGCCATACTCTTGTTTCCAGCATGGAGTGCCTTGGTCCAATGGCCAGCAGGTGGCAACAAATGGTTGTTAAAGTGGCGGCCGAGCACTGGAGGCCCTCTCCAGAACAGGTGTCTCTCCTGCTGTGCCTCCAGGACCTGTGTTTTGGAAACGCCAGCAAGCCAGCCCAACAGGCCCTTTTGGGTGAGTAGAGTATCCCAGGAACTGCAGATGCTCTTCAGAAGAGTCAAAAAGGGGGGTCAACGCTCAGGCCCTGAAAGAGCCCAACTTTGCTTTTCAATTTCACAGACTTACAGTTCCGAGTAATTGCACCGGAGAGCTGAAGAGCCAAAGGCAGTTGATGTGCATATCCAGGCTTCTTCAGGCATGAGATTTCATCCGGTTCACACCAGATGACCTGCCTCTGTCAGGTCTCAGTCTGTCTGGAATCGTCAGTTTCTTCTGTTTTGTTTTGTTTTAGCCAAGCTCAGTGCCATGCAATCAGGCTGACAGTCTGTAGTCAAGACTGGGTTTGTTATCACTGGATTACACAAAGGCTTCTTATTACAAAGAGGTTGCTGACCACTCATCATGGGTCCCCTCTACCTTGGTGCTGTTTCTTCCAGGGGCAGGGATGAATTTGTCCCTGTCCTGCTTCACACTCTCCCTCTTTCTTTTAGTCTAATGGTAGAGGGGAGATCACCCTATATCGCGATCCTGTTGTCCACCGCCTCATTCCTGCGGCAGCTTAGCTGTGCACTTGACATACGTCATGTGTCTGAGCTCACTTAGGTACAAGAACCAGGAGGGGAATCTGATAATTCTGATTCTAAACACAGTGCTCTGTCCACTACATTCATGGTTCAAATGGTGCTCCAAGAAGCCCTTCTGAGGTGGCCATGAGCGAAGGGAAGAAGGAGGGATGGCGGACAGGGAGGAGTGGCCGAAAAGGTGGTGCTCCCTGCTTCCCACCCTTCCTTCATCTAGAACAGCTGTGCTGTAACTTTTAAAATATATGTGGCCGGGCGCGGTGGCTCAAGCCTGTAATCCCAGCACTTTGGGAGGCCGAGGCAGGTGGAGCACGAGGTCAAGAGATCGAGAGCATCCTGGTCAACATGGTGAAACCCCATCTCTACTAAAAATCAAAAAATTAGCTGGGCATGGTGGTGCGTACCTGTAATCCCAGCTACTCAGGAGGCTGAGGCAGGAGAATTGCCTGAACCCAGGAGGTGGAGGTTGTGGTGAGCCGAGATCACGCCATTGCACTCCAGCCTGGGTAACAAGAGCGAAACTCTGTCTCAAAAAAATAAAAATAAATAAAATATATGTGTGTGTACATTAAAGTATATATGTAATCTTTCTCTTAACTTTCCTTTCAGAAGGTGGAGAAAAATCTGTGCCTCCTCCTCTCAAGGGATACTTTGTCTCTGGGGTACTTTTTGACCCAGTGGGCCCCTGGCAGAAATAAGCGTGGGCTGTGACTACAGGACCATGCAGAGCCAACAGGAACCGAAGCCAGGCCTTGGCCACGGCAGCTCCGGGGCCAACCACTTGATCAATGCAGGAAATGCTTTGATGGCAGAATTCTTCCATGGCCGGCTTCTCATATTCTCTGGGGCAGACACAAACTAAGAAAAGTGAGTGGTGCAGGACAGGATGTGCCCTTCCTGTACCCCTGCTGGGAGCAAAACGTAGATTTTGAACTTTTCTTTTACACACAGTCTGGGTAACAACAGTCTGAAGGAAAACTAAGGAAGCCTGGGAGTCTAAGTTCAATGACAAGTGAAGAAGTGAGGCAGAGGGAAAGGAGAATTGAGAGAGAAAAGCCTCAGGCTGGGTGTCTGGAGAGGTTGGGGGACTAGGGAGGGAGGAGATATAATTGGCCAGAGAACTGGAGAGTGGGTGAGGAGTGCAAACATGATTTTTGAGGCGCTTTGTTGGATATTTCAAATGTACTCCTACCTTTGGCATTTTCTCAAGAGGCAGGAAAGATTTGTTTTCAATTCTATTTTTCTGCTGGACTGAACCAGTGCCAAGACTGGACCGTGTAGGATCCTGGGTTTATTTCGGTTACATAAGCGAACTTTGCTGTGATTTGGAATAGTCAAAGCCATGAATGTTTTTCAACTTCCATTTTGTCAGCTGCTTGAGTTTCTATTCTGAGAGGTGCTAACAGTTATAACATTGTTATTCACTTGTGTTTCCTAAATAACTTTTAATCAGTTTTAATTTGAAACAAGATTGTTCTGTTGACACTATCACAAGAATGATCAAAAATGAAATTAATAAAGAATTCACTTCGGAAAAAAATTTTCACTAATATTATGGTATTTTATAATATCTTTCTCAGCAGAGACACAGATAATTAAAAATTTTTAATTTTGTTTTTAAGTGTTTTTCCTCAAAGCGATAATAGATATAGCCTTGGTAAAGAGTTTAGTGAAACATTAGTTTTCACCTCTCATGCATTTTGTATAATGAAATTTTCCTATCATCTTCTAGTGGAATTAATTGCATTGGTGTAAAAAATGCAATCAGATCAGTGACTGTATTTAGCCTTTGAAACCTCATGACTAGCTGGGATAGTTAATATTCATTACACACTGAAAAATGATAAGCAGTAATCTTTTCTCCTAAAAAACTGCCAAAGAGAAGTTTCTCAGGGCTCTCGAAATAGCATAAAGCTGACAATACGAGAAATGTTAAAATACTGTTGGAGTTTTTAATCAAATCTTCCCTCTCTTCTTTTCCTGTTTTTTAAGACAATGGTAGTTATTTGTCCACTAATCATTAATGTATGATTTTCTAACAAAGACTTGCATATCCTTTTGGCTAAAAAGTGGCCAAATATCAAAGAGCTAGTAATTTGGGAGACAGCCATTAGTCTGTTCCAAAGCATATAAGCTCTTTTGAATCCTTTTGGGTAAATGTCTGGCAAAGATCAAACAGAATTCATAAAGGATTTCTGATACACAGTGAAATGTGCCTGTGAGGACTCTATACATGATAATAATCTAAGCATGCTCTCTTTTAGTCCCAAAACTTGTAATGTTACATGAAATTTACAGGAGGCCATTGATTTGGACTGAGCTCCTGCACTAGGCCAAACAGACCAAACCAAAATGGCGTCACTCATGCTGAAATTCACACCACCAAGCCAAAACTAAGTTGTTTATCTTCCAAGACATTAGGAGAGATAACAGCCCAATCCCCAAACAGGCCGGTTTTAGCTAGCATGATGAGGAGGTCCCCTCTGCTTCAGCCTTTAGGAGGAAAGTAACTTTGAAACAACCAGTCTGCTTTTTGTTCTCTGCTTCTGCCTGCCTCAACCCCTTTCTGACCATAAAAGCAACATCCTCTGCTTGGCTCATGGGAACACTCATTCTATTTTGTACAGTGAGGTGTTGCCCGATATTCTAGATTTGCAAATAAAAGCCAATTAAAATCTCTAAATTAAATCTGTTGTAATTTTGTCTTTGACACTAATAAACGCACGAACAGGTTTCTTTAGTGAAAGCCAGTGATACGCAGGGTACATTTGACAAGTGCTGTGGCCAACGTCCTATTGTTTACATTCTCATTTTCATAATTTTCTTAAGCACTATGTAATTTGGTCTTGGGAAGGCTTTGCTAATTACGGATGAGGAAGATGGGCCTTGTATGTGACAGAATGATTTAACGTTGTGCGGTTCAGTGGAAAGAGTGTAGCTGTGTTGAATATTTATGACGTTTTACCTTCCCTCTTTGTTACAGAGGCCTTACAACAAATTAAAACATGTGTGTCAGCTCCCTAATTACTTAGCTAGACTTTTAAAGATTGGCTAGTTAAGGCTGAATTTTATTCAAGCACTACTTCATCTGTCATATTATTTTAAGTACATTAGCCTTGTTAGCCTATTATATGGCCATGATCAGTACTATTTAAATTGCCAACTTCTACATGTCCCTTCTGTGTGCTCTGGCTCAACCAGTGCATTAGTGGTGCTAGCTTAGTTTTGTCACAATTCTGGGCACCTTGGCAGTCCGTGGGTGGGGGCATGGAGATCCTGGGTAAACATAGTGCGTCTGCCTGGACTTGGAAAAATATAAATTCATCAATTTAACCGTTTATTTAATGTGCTCCAATTCTTTAATTTGCTGCAAAGCAAACAAAATTATGCATTAGCTATGTTATGACTAAAACCCAAATGTTGTTGAATACTTTCAGCGATAGAATAACAACTTGTAAACCCAGAGTATGACTGCTTAGCTGTCAGAGTTCCAGCTAGAAATCAGCTGAGAAAAAAAATCTGATGACACTCATCCTGAGAAGTGTTGGAACGGAGCCCCGCCTGGCTTTTGGGTGATGCAGTCCGAAACCTACTCCCATCTCTTGTTAAAGTCCCGTGTCATTGCACAGGAACTCCAGGGACTGTTGGGGAAGGAACAGGAAGCCTCCAGCCCAAGGGAACGGGACTCATCCTGTTGTCAGGTGAGATCCTGAGAAGCATGGATGAGCCCAGCATGGGCAGAGCCATTGAGAAGCTCCTCCCTCCTCAGCTAAGCCTGCACTGGCCAGCAGGTCCCTGAGTCCTGAGAGCATCCGCCCAAAGCTGTCCCCGTTACTCTCCAGACCTAGCCACGGCACCTCCCAGCTCCTGGTGCCTGAGTCCCTGCCTCTGACTGGGATCACCATTTACACCCCCCACTGCACTCCTTGCCCCTCACCTGCCCACTGTGGTAACACTGCCTTGCTCAGATCCAGTCCTAGTCCTGTGAGAGTTTCTGCCCTGGCCCTTGGTCCAGATTTCTAGTTTCTGTCTTTATGTGGTCCACTGCCAGGACTAGAGACGAGTTCAACCAATGAACAATATAAAGTTTGATTTTGCTGTGAAAGTAAATATAAATGCAAAATTCACACGAACGCTTAAAATACCAGACCTCAAAGAAGAGGGCTGTCTGTGGCTCCTGTGAGCAGTCCCTGGGCCCCTGGGGGAGGCATTCATCCACTGCCGTTACAGCGCCACCAGCAGGCACTTTTGAGGAGTACAGCTCCGAGGGATGACTCGGGAGCAAGGAGAAGAATTCAGCGAACGTGAGATGTCCTCCAGCAACATCAGAGACAGTGCCCTTCAGAGGGCTTGTGTCCTACTGGAATCAGGGGAAATTCCATACAGTTCCAGATATTAGGCCTCCTAACTGAACTCTATGCAATGCCTTTATTCCCCTCCTCCCAATCTGTGCAAAAAGAATCACAGGAATAAAACCTGTTTTCTTTCTTAGTGGTTGCACCAATTTCGTGCAGTCTAGTTCTTTTCTGGTTTTCTGTAAAGTTGTTTTCCGAAGTATTTAAAGTTGTTTTGGTGAAAGTTGACTTTATGATGCTTATTTTTTGTTTCAAAAACAATAAAGGCAGTTTTCGCTGGTGCTGGGAACCTGAGCTAAGAGAGCAGGAGACAGGGTCCCAGGGCCTTCTCAGCTTCCTTGTGATGACTTGTAAAACAGCACACACAGCCTTGCCTCTATCCTCTCCCCACCCTGTACCCACTTTTTTAGAAACGGGGAGTGCAGGCAGGCAGGCATGAGGAACCTTTCGGAGCATGAGACTCTTACTGAACTGAAGGGACAGAGGATGCCTGGGCCCGCCTTGTCCTGGATCAACAGCTGCTGTCCCGATGTTTTCCTCCTTGCTCCTAGGATGGGGGCTTTCAGGATACACTTTGGGTGGGAAAAAATGCACCACAAGGCATCCCTAATTTGAGATGGGGCTGTGATAGTCTTTGTTCTAGCCAGGCCAGTTCCAGACCTGATGCAGTTAACCCTGCATTAAAGTCCAAGTGGCTGATGCCTCTCAGAGGGCCCCGCAAGCTCTGCCTCCTAAATACATAAATATCAGTCCTGGAGACTGATCTTTGGCTCATGTTTCCTAGAGAAAAATACTTGGAAAATTTGGAGGTGTGTACTTCTATGGCCATTTCTATTCTGAAGGGGAATTGGCACGGTGCAGATTAAGGAGGACCCTGCCATTGATTAGAATGGTTACCTTAAGGACTTGTTCCTAGCACCTGGCTCTGTGACAAGCATCCCCAGCCTGCCAGTGACACAGCATTTGTGTATCCCTTTTGTCCTAAACCAGAGCTTCTTCTTGTACCATATGTATACAGATTGATACTTTGCAGATGGAAATTCCTCCCTGAGACAGAGACAGATCATCTCCCCCCTCCCATATGGCTTAGGAAGGGCAAAGAAAGAGCCAGAGGAAGCAAGCTTAGAAAGTGAGAGCAAGGGAATCGGGAGAGAATCATTCAAAGAAAGAACTGGGAAGCCGGTTTTAGAAATAAGAGGTTGTTGTCAGAGACCCAAGGGAGACATTCCAGGGAGCTTCCTGGGAGCTCATGTGGCCTGAATCTTTATACTGGACCTGGTGTCTGGGAGAAACAGCTGTGCCTTCAGGGATGAGAGGCTGAAGGGAAAATCTGGTGCCAGCTGTGGGGATGGAGTGAAGATGTGGGGTGGGTGGGGGCTGGAGAGAGAAAGCAAACTGGGATTAAGGAGAACGTTCAGCAAATCAGGCAATGCTGGGCTCTGCAAAGAGCTGGGACCATCTCTGTATTTGGTGTCTGAATGTTCTCACTTTAATAAGGCAGTTCTTCCATCTGGATTGGAATAGGGTAAGTGCCCACCCTTTCCTTCTTTCCTGCCACCCCCAAGGAGATGGCACAAGGATACCCTGCTTTGGGGCATAATTCTAACATGTTTGATTCTTTAAAGATCAGTGTCATCACCCAAAAGTTAGGCTTGGTGTGTTCATGGTCTGCATTTACGCTCTCTAAATTTGCCTTTTCAAAGCCCAGCTTTTTTCCAGAATCCCACTCTGGCAGGAGATCAAGGGAGGGCCTCACGCTCTCCAGCAAATGATAAAATTCCACAGCGAAGCTTTCCCAGCGTCACCCAGAAAGAACCCAGAATTAGCCATCTGGTTCTGTCAACCAGACACATGTCCCCCACAGGCTGTGCACCTTGACTGAGCAACACCCCTGTCCTCAGCCAGAAGAAGACTCGCTTGGCCTGGTGTGGACAGACAACACACCCAGGCTCTTCTCTTGGCGCAGCTTGCTGGGCACCCCCTCTGCTCTCCCAGAGCCACAACCCTGCCCCTCGCCCCGGTGACGGTGCTGTGGTTCGCTTATTTTGACATACGCGTTCCTAACACACTGAAGATGAAAGGCAGGAAATGTGCAGTTCCAGTTCCCACAGCAGGAGCGGTCGGACCACATTGCGTCACATTTACAGAAAGGTCATGGGATCCTCAAGGCAAACACAGTGTAGGCTGACCTCAGGCCCAGGGGCTGGCCTGGCACAGTGCATGCTGGGCGCTGCCCGCCCCTGAATGGAATCCCTCCTCACCATGGACTAACCACAGCCTGGCTCACTCCCACCGCTGCCTGTGACTAAAGCCACTTCCTCACAAGGTCACTCCTCTTGGGGCTCCCCACTGTCCCAGAGAGAGCCCACTTCCTCCCAGACCACTCCCAGTCCTGGCAGTGTGACCGCTGCTGAGTGATGAATATGGAACTCTCCCTGCCTTTCCACTTTCCTTTGAGCAGGAAGTGCCTCCAGATCTTTGGGGCAGAGATTGGAAACCCCCAGTATTCTAAAAAGGGGCAGAACGTGACCCACCAAGACCCAAAGGGGAAAAAAAAGCCGTAGCCTTGCTGTTTTCCCTGTGACCATCAGCCCTTCCTGCAGTCCCCAGCCAGCTCGATGATTCTGCTCTAAAATACGCCATCTTTTCCATAAGATATAACTAAGCATCACTTCCACCCACACTCAGGATGTTAAGACATTTGAAGAATAATTTGTTCTAGACCTGAAAAAAACCTTGCAGGAAGAATTCCACTTCCTTGCCTCCAGGTGTGTGCCATGTGGCTGGGTTATGGGGGCAGTGGGGGCTGTAACTGGCTTTGTATGTGGCCATTTCCTGACTTTGGTGCAGTTAAACCAAGCCCTCGGTGATTAGGCTGCAGGAATACCATTTGTGCATTTCATTTCCTTGGGGATGATTTTTTAAAGTGGCTCTAATGCACCTGATCACATTCAGATGTGTTCCCAGGGAAGCAGGCGATTTGAGAGTGCAGTAAAGCCAGCTCACGTGTGCCCAGATCCAGCTCAGCCCTTGTTCAACAGAAGCTGCTAAAGACAGGTACTCAGGGACGATAATGTCGTTTTGTGCCTTTGTCTGGGGCAGCTCATTAAGGTAGAGACACCTCACTGCTAACAGGACAACCCCTTCCTGTGTGTTCCAGGGAAACCTAATTGACTACAAAATCTTTTTTTTTTTTTATGTCACCACTGCCAGATACAAATCCAATTAGCAGCAGAGTTAACTCAGATGAATCCTGGGAACATGGAAATACCACATTCTACAGCTAATCAGACCCGTGGAAGGATGACACACCTGGATG